AGGCTATGAATAAAGAAGGTTGTTTGTGTTGGATTAAACCTTCAGCATTTGAAATTCATTGATTTTACTATTTTACCCCTAGAATAGACTATTTGGTAATTTTGAGTTCAATTTGCATTATTTCATAAAAAATAATTTACTAAATTCAAAATAATATTGAAAAACATGAGTAAATTATAAAAAATAAAAATATTTTATTAAAATAAGAATAAAATTGAAAAATACATATCAATTTATAAATTAAAAATAAATTATTAAGAGTTAAAATAATAATGAAATAGTAATAAAGACCATGAAGTCTGAAAATGTTGCTTTTCAGATGCCACCTACGTTTGTATGGTTGGGGTGGTTTGTTAGGTCTTTTTCTTTGGTTGAAGTGTTTTTTTTTTGGTGTTTTTTCTTTTGTTGGATTGTTGTTTTCCCTGGAGGTGTTTGGGAGGTTGGAGTATTTTTTTTTTTCATTTTTCTCTTGGGTGATTACTTGCTACCTTCCTTGTTTTACTTCTTTTTTTCTATTAATAATTTTTTTTATTATATAAAAAAAAGAGGCACCTAAAGAGTGAATCAATCTCACCACTACACTCCACCACTCTTTGAGGCGCTCTGGTTTGAAAACCTGCTAATATTCCACCGTCTTAACAAATCATTAATATTAACACCACTAAATTCTTTACATATCAATACCCAGTGTGCAACCCTTGTTGTTGTGGGTTCAATCACTCTTCCATCATTGGATCGGAGTCGGATTTTGCCAAATCTGATCCGATTACAGCACTAGATGCTAACCACCACAACTCTTAGCCAGAAAAGCTAGGCTTTCAATTGGGGTAACAAGCAATTTAAAGGATGCACATGTGAAAAATGCCTTTGGCCAAAAGGGTCCATACCCTCTCATTAGAACCCGAGACGAGAAGGATAAGGTCCTAGAGAGTGAGGGAATCAGCTCTTTGGTTTCATTCTCTCTTAAGGGTCTCCTTAAACCCTAATCCAAAACCAATCCAAATTCATCACAGGAATACAAGTCAACAATAGGTTCGTTTTCTAGGTCTAAGATATCGTCATGGTTTCAAATGTCGCTAATGTCGCCCAACATATGTCGATGTTGAGGCTCACCGACATGAAAATGGATGGTAATATAAAAATTACATTATTTCGGTTGACATTTCCTATATTTCGGAAATGTCGACCAAATCGGTCCAAATAACCAAAAAAAGACATTTTTTCCTATTATGTCGACAGGATGTCAACTAATGTACATTAATAATATAATATTATTAGTATAATATATTATTATAATACAGTATATTAATATAAATTATTCCATTAATAATTTATATTTAATATTTCAAATAAAATATTTATAAGAAAGAATTAACAAAATATAAAAAAAAAGAATAAATTAATTACTTTATAATATAAAACATAAAATATTTTTCAAGTAATAAAATATTAACTAGATAGTATTTTTTAAAATATTTATTAAAATCAGAAAATGTTTAYTAAATTTTATAATAAATCATATTCTACATTTAATATAAAAATCAGAATAAATTTATTAGATTTTATACTAAATCATAATTTATTATAAGTTTAGTATTAAAAATCATAATAAATTCATTAAGTTTTATAAGAAATCAGAATTTATCATAATCTTAATACTAGAAAAAGGAGAAACAGTTTATTAAATTTATAATAAAACATAATGTATTACAACTTTAATATTTAAAAAATCAGAATAAATATATTTTTA